ACACGTACATAAATACAGTTCAGGGGGAAGAAACATTTGTGGGGAGGGGCTCTGCTGCTCTCCAGAGGGTCCCACGCTGGTCGTGTCTGTGGGATCCTTTGTGGACCCTGCTCAGGCCTCCTCAGGAGGGAGGTGGGGTGGTCCCCCGTGGGGGACAGCTTGGTGGTCATCCTTCACACCAGCAGCTGGGGCAGAGAGGTGCTTGGGGTGCAGCAGGGGTGGGGTCTGAGGCCTCCTGCCCAACGCTGGCAGGGTGTCCCCACCCTGCCCCATGGCACCTGTGCCCCTCACAGCACCTGGATGTCCCAGATCTGCGTGGGTCTCTCCTCAGCCATGTCCCAAACGATGGCGTGGTCCCGGTCGTAGCTTCGGCCGCCTGCAGAGCGAGGGGAAGGTTTGGGCAGGGCAAACCCCACTCCTGATGGTGCTGAAGGGGTGGGCACCCCATGTCATGGCCAAACCCCCCCATTTTGGGGAAGCAGCCTCTGTGCAGGGCTGAGGCCTCACCCTTGACATCGAGGATCATGTCCTCGAACATCTGGCTGTGGATCCGTCCCTGAGAATCCACGCTCCAGGTCTGGCGTGGCATCCGTGTCTCGGACCAGAGCACGGCCTTGGCGCCCTTGCCGGCCGGCCCGATGACCTGCAGGCTCATGGTGGGGGCCACCTGCAGGGACACGGGAGGCATTTCCCTGTAAGCACGGCTGCTCCTGTGCTGGAACGTGGGATGAGCAGGAAGATCCCTCAGTGAGAGACGGGGGGGGATTGAGGGTGACAGCAACTCCACAGGGAAGGCAGAGATGGCTTCGCATCTCCAGGGGAGATTCAGGGAGGAGAATCACCAGATCTTTGGGGACAAGACTGGGATTAGAGGCTGGGAAAAGCTGTTATAAAGGCTGGAAGATGGCTGTGGGGTGGGGAGTGCCCAGCAGGAGTCCTGCCAGAGGCTGTCCTGCTCCCCTCGGTGGTGCTGGCTGTCACACCTGAGCCCTGACCTGGTTTTTGATCAGCCCATTCTCGTAGTACCAGACAGAGCTGCTCTGCTCGCCCAGGCTGGAGACCACCACCCTCCCTGCCTTCATGTCCTCCACATCGTCGGGGACCGAGAGGAAGAGCTCCAGCGTCCTGCTCCTGATGCGGAAATAAATCCGTCTCTGCAACGACAGGAACCTGCTGTTTGCACCCCAAAGCCCTTCCAGGAGCTCACCTGGGTCCTGCAGCCCTGGGTTCTCCCCGTTTTCCTCCCCCAGGAGATCCCCACGTCTCCCCAGGGCGAGGGCTGTGACCGTGACCTGTCCCTCGTAGCTGCCATGGGCACGGCTGGGATGCCATGGATTTTACATGGCCCTTGCCCACAGGGAGCGTTTCACCACAAAGGCAGCCACTCCCAGGGTGGGGGACAGGAATCTGGGGCGGCAGGGCCGAGCTGGTGGCACCTTCCCTGTGCCAGAGCTGTCAGGCTGCTGCTCTGCAGCTCCCCCAGCCCACCCCGAGCGGGCTGGCAGCTCTGTCTCTGTGCCCCACGAGGGGTTTTGGGTTCACCCCGCCGGGTGGCAGTGCCCTGTCCCCTCCCAAAGGTGACACTCACCTGTCGGATGGGGTAGAGGGACCCCACGTGCTGGAGCCCGCTGTAGGTCAGCCAGTTGGTGATCTCAGTGCAGTCCAGCAGCCACTGCCGCCCTCGGAAGTCACCGTGCTCGCACAGCACCCAGCTGTGGGGACAGGATGGCACAGCACAGGTCACCCCGGGCGGGCAGGGGACACCCACAGGGTGCCAGGGCACCAGGGCTCACTTACATCCCTCCTTTGACCCGCACTGACAGCACGTGGTTGTTGAAACCCTCTGCCTGGAGACTCCGAACTTCGGAGTTGAGCTCGATCTCCTTCCCCTCGAAACACTCCAGCCCGTGCAGGAAGATGGAGGGCTCCGAGAAAAACTGTGAGATTGGGGACAGAGATGGGGTGGGAGGGGGAAAGGATGGGAGTGGGGGTTCCAGGGGTGGGGATCCAGAACGGGGGGTGCCCATGAGAGGGAAGGGAAGGGAAGGGAAGGGAAGGGAAGGGGGACTCACCAGTGGAACTTTCTTCAGGGAGCAGATGGAGGTGGAGCAGAGGCAGCCCATGGCACTGAGCGTGGGGTACTCGCCCTCGGACAGCACGTGCTGCTCCCCAGTGAAGTCCTGGCCATCAAACAGGATCCAGCTGGTGGAGAGGAGCATTCCCGGCTGACAGAGCCATCACAGCAGCCATCCATCCCTCCTGTGACCCACAGCACCCCTTCCCTGCCCACCCTGTCCCCATCCCCATGGCCCCGGGACACCCCACCTGCCCCCACGGACTCTGCAGGAGCGTGGGATGAAGGCTTCAGGCAAGGCCTCCTGGTCCTCCTCAAAGGCAACGTGGTCCCCCAAGAAGTCAGGCTCTGAGAAAAGCAGGATCTGGGGAGGAAGAGCAGAGGGGCTCGGTGAGGGGGTAAAGCATCACCACCACCCCACAGGGGGCTGTGTCCCCCTGCCCATCCACCAGCCCTGACCTTGGAGACGAAGTGCAGGTTGTGTTCCCTGACCTGGAAGCAAACAGAGTGGGGTTGTGGGTGTCTGGCTGTGACCCCCACCAGCCCGGGGGGGGGGGGTCCCATGAGGAGGGGGTGTCCCCTCACCTGCAGGATGGGCTGTGCTGAGGCGATGTGGCAGTCGGTGGCCCCCCAGTCCTCGCAGTTGCGGTACACCCCCTTCTCCAGGATGTACTGCTCGCCAGAGTAGTTGGGGCCCTCATAGGCCACCCAGCTGTGGGGAGGAGGTGAGTGCTGGTTCATTCCCCTCCCCAGGCACCCCCCAGGCCCCCCGTGCCCCGTCCCCACGCTCACACTCCGCTCAGCACGTGGATGGACTGGGTGACGGAGCCGTATCCGGCCAGCTGCGTGTCCGGGAGAGCCTCGCTCAGCTCCACGCTCGGGCCCTCCTCGAAGTCCATGGCCTCGAACAGGACCAGTGCTGGGTCAGAGAAGTCCTGTGGGGAGAAGGAGCCCCCCCAAGCCCCGTGGTGTGTCAGGGGAAGGAGCTGTGGGCTGGGCACACACACACAGAGCCGAGCTCCTTGGGGAGGGTGGGAGCAGCTGCCGAACCTTGGCTCGGGAGAGTTTGGGGGGTCTCAGCCGTGCCCAGCTGCCTGACACAGGCAGGGAAGGCTCCCTTTGGGGGGTGAGGATGAGGTGAGGGTGCCTGGCTCTCTCTGCCCGCTCTAAGTCCATTCCCAAGCCGTTGCCATCCCTGCCCTCACCGTCCGGATCAGCCGTAGGGACACCAGCTCCTTGCTGTAGCCGCCCCACTGCCTCCAGTCCTGGTACTCCCCTTCCTCCAGCAGGTACTGGTGGCCACGGAAACCTTCCTTCTCGTAGCCAACCCAGCTGTGGCACAGGCAGACACGGGCGGTGAGGACTCCACAGGATTTCCACTTGCTGGGGCACAGGGACACCATCCACACCCTCCCAAGTGACCCACAGCCATTCCCAGGGGTGACCATCATCCTCCCAGCCTGCTCCAGCCCTGCCCTCCCCGTGCCACTCACCAGCCACCCAGGACACGCAGGGAGCCCACGGTGGGCAGCGCTGGCTCGGGCAGGCGCTTCAGGTCATAAATGTCTCTGCTGATGGTGAAGCTGCGGCCCTGGAAAGCTGCAGCCTCATAGATCAGCACCTGGGGACGGGTGAGAGAGGTGAGAGAGGTGAGAGAGGTGAGAAAGGGGACAAGGTGAGGTGAGATGGTCCCATGGCCATCCCAGCCCATCCCAGAGCTCACCTGTGGCTCACCAGGTCTCTCCACGACGGGGCAGCCCTGGAAGGAGAAGGAGCCCCAGTGAGGCTGTGGTGGCAGGAGGGGACATTGCAGGGACATCTGCTGCCACTCTTTAAAGCCTGAGCTGGTTTTTGGGTCATTTTCATTCAAGAAGCTCTTTTGAAGCTTTCCCTCACCCCTAACCCACAGGAGCACTTTCCAAAGCCACGCTTGGCCTGTTTCCACACCATGATCTCACCGATGGCAACCAGGAGCTGCCAGAACTCACTCACAGCTGGACACAGCCCCCACAGGCCTGGAACCAGCACTCACCAGCCTGATGGGGTGCATGGAGCAGATGGACGGGTCCTTGGCTCCCCAAGCCTTTAAATTGGGGTACCCACCCGGCTCCAGCACATAGGGATCATCGTCGAAGAAAGGCTTGGAGTAAAGCAGCCACCTGGGGAAGGGGGGAAAGGCGTCACACCCTGCTCCCATCTGTGCTGGAGCCCACCCGGCAGCCCCCCAGGGCAGGGTCGCGCTCACAGGCCCGAGTGGACGATGATGGAGGCGGCGGCCAGCGCCTGTCCCCGCTGCCGGGTGTCCTCGGCCGAGCCGCTGAACCGGAGCCGGGCGCCTTCGCCGTTCTCCTCCGCGAACAGGCTGATCTCGGGGGTGCGGTAATCCTGCGGGAACAGCGGCGTTCCGGGCTCCGGCACCTCCGCTCGGGGGGCTCGGGGGGCTCGGGGGGTCCCTGCACTCACCCGCACCACCCTCTTGAAGGAGCCGATGCGGAACGGGCGGCTCCCGCGGGGCTGCCCGCTGTCCCCGCTGTCCCCTTTGCTGTCCCCGTACGCCGTCCAGGGGTTGTCGATCTCCACGTCCCCCTCGGCCAGGACGCACTTGCGCCCTCGGAACCGCGGCTTCTCGTACATCACCCACCTGGGAGCGGGGGGAATCCAGCGTTACCCGCAGCCCTGCGGTGCCCCCGGGGCACGGCGAGGGTGGGGATGCGCTGTCACCGCCGCGGTAATCAGCACTTGGCAGGACGGTCACTCCTGAATGCCGGGCTGTGACCCGGCTGTGACATCCCCGGCACGGGGAGAGCTTCAGCCCCAGCCAAACCCCCGCCTGCGGTACACCCCCTTCTCCAGGATGAACTGCTCGCCAGAGTAGTTGGGGCCCACTCAGCTGCGGGGAGGAGGTGAGTGCTGGCTCATGGTGTCCCCTAGTGTCCCCTCCGCTGTCCCTACCCGCCTCGGATGACTCGGATGGAGATGGTGTGTGACAGCTCCCAGGACGTGGCGTCGGGGATGTCGTCCCAGATCTCCCGTTTCTGCCCCGCGAAGCCGGCATCGGAGTACAGGATGATCTGGGAAGGGGTGACAGGGCAGGGAAGTGTCACACACCGCGCCATGGCCCGACCAGCCAGCCCTGCCCGGCCCCAGCGCCCTCCCTGTACCTTGCCAGGTCTCGTGTTGATCTTCTCCAAGCCCTCCTTATCCTCCTGCTGTGAAGAGGCGAGGGGATGGGCGGGTGAGGAGCACGGAGGGACATGGGCTGCAGCAGCCATCGCAGCCGCAGCCGCAGCCTCGCGTCTGGCGTCTGCCCGGCCCTCCCACCGCCCCGAGCAGCCACACCTCGAGCATTCCTGCACGGCTGGGGATCAGCCTCGCGTCTGCCCCCGACCCTCCTGTCACCTGCCCGGGACCCTCCCAGCAGCCGTGGTGGCACCCTCCCATCGCTTGACCTCGTATCCACCCATCCCAGTATCCTCCCATCACCTATCCCAGTGTCCTCCCACGACCCGTCCCAGTTCACTCCCATCACTTTTCCCAGTCCCTGCACTTTCACCCCATGGCCTCTCTTGGGGAAGCACGAGCCATGTGTTGGGAACAGGGAAGGAAGCTCCAGGGTTCAGCCCCCACCCCATCCCACTCTCCCGGGGAAGGAGAGCATTCCCCAGGGCTCCGGGCTGCAATCACTCACCAGGACATGCTCCAGGCTCAGGGCCACGGTGCTCTCTGGCTCCTCGGTGACAGGAGGGACAGAGCCAGAACTCAGGGCTTCCAGCATGGCCATCTCGGGGCCAGAGTGGCCACCAGGGCCCAGCCCATTGTGGTCCCTGAGGCCGGGTAAGTCTGTGGCCCCGTCGCCGTCGGGCAGCTCGAGCAGGGCGGTGCCGGGGGACACGAAGCGGCTGTAGAGCACGCTGTTATCCAGCCGGGAGTAGGGCTTGCCCTCATCAGCTCCAGCTGCCCGCTGCTCCAAAAAGTGGGAGAGCAGCGCCATGCCCTTGAGGACGTTCCCTCGGAAGAGCCCACTCCGCTCGGCCGAGCCCCCGGCCACCAGTTTGGCTTTTTCATCTGCTCCCAGTGTCCCCAGGAGTGAGCCCCCCTCCACGCACCCCTGGCCCCCCACCCTGTCTCTGGGCACCCCACGGAGGGTCCCCATGGCCGCCCGTTCCTCCGGGCTCAGGTAGGGGTTCTCGATCTCCTCCTCTTCCTCGGGGGTGTCCTCGGGCCGCCCCGCCGGGCCCCGGGCCAGCAGCTCCCGCAGGGCCTGGGGCAGGGACAGGGGGGCTCGGGGGGCCACGCGGTCCTCGTGGATGGGGGGCAGGGCTGCACAGCGGCCCAGAGCCGACGGCCGGGGCTGCCGAGGGGCTTTGGGCGCCTTCCGCAGCTCCGAGGGCTCCATGTTGCGCAGGGTGTCCACCAACATCTCCATGTCCACCAGCAGCTCGGGGTCCTCCTCGGCCGCGTCCGGGGGGCTCTCGGCTGGGGGCTCAGGGGCTGGCGGCTCGGTGGGGGTCTCTGGGATGCTCTCAGGCTCTTGGGCTGTGCCCTGGGGGTCTCCCGTCGTCTCATCCCCCTCCGGCTCAATCTCAGCCTTTGCTGGTGCTGCTGTTTCGGATGAAGGCTCTGGACCATCGCCCACCTCCGAGGGGAGGTTCTCGGGGGTGCTGCCAGTTCCCGGGGGGCTCTCTGTCCTCGGTGGCGTGGCTGCAATGGTGCCATCCACGTCTGCCACGCTTCCCTCACCTGCGCCAGCCGGATCAGCCTGGCCAGCGGCGCCTGCCGAGGGCCACTGCGGGGAGCTGGTCAGACTGGTTTGTGGGTCCCCGGGCCTGTCGCCGGCTCCCGCAGTTGCCCTCACCGGCGTGGGTTCAGCTTGTGCCGAGTCCTTCTCCTCGGGGGATCCCTCGGCCGGGAGCCCAGCGGCCTCTGTGGTGCCCGGCGAGTTTTCCTTGCCCACTGCGGCCACAGCAGAGCCGCTGCCGTCCTGCCCGGGGCTGTCCCGCTGCGCCGAGGCCCTGGTGGCCCCGGCAGTGTCGTGTGTCCCATTCGGAGCCCCCCGTGGTTCCGCCGGCCCGGCCGCGTCCCTGCCCGTCCGCAGCACGGTGACCTGCCTGGCCCTGGGCGAGGCGGGGACGCTGCCGGGCTCGGAGGCGCACGGGGCACCGGCAGCGTCCCCGGGAGCCCCGGCGGGGCGGGTGGGCAGCAGGGTGCCATGCACGTAACTCTCCCTGTGCACGGGCACCTCGCGGGGGGCACCCACAGGGCAGGGGGAGCCGTCACCGCCGGGCCCCCCCTTCCCCCGCTCGTCCTGGCGCCGGGGCCGCTGCGCCGGGGCATAGACCTGCGAGAAGATGGGGCCGTGCGCCGTGAAGTCCTTGAGGAGGCTGAGGGAGGACGAGTGCTCCCGGTGGGTCGGGGTGGCGGGGCTGGAGCCCGTCTTCTCCACGATCTCCCTCTCCCAGGCCTGCAGCAGGAGGGACACGCGCGAGGGGCTCCCGTCCCTGCCCCGAGCGCTCCCGGTGCTCTCCAGGCGCCGCGACACCAGCGAGACCTTCTGGAAGCGGGACCGGCCCTCGGGGGCACCCGCGGCTCCCTGCTTCATGCTGAGCTCGGCGCTGGAGATGAAGGCTCTGCTCTTGCTGTGCCGGAACGGCGGATCCATGGATCGGGCAGGGGATGCCGCGGTCCCGGAGCTCCCCGCGCTGCCGGGCTCAGCCCCCGCGGCCGCCACGCTGGGGCTGGCAGAGCTGCAGGGAGAGAAGGAATCTCTGGGAGAGCTGAGAACAACCCCACGAGGGACAGCCCTGACCCCCAAAGCAGCCCTTTAAGCCCCACAGACCTCCCTCTGAACCTGCGGGACATTTTGGGAGGATCCCGTGAGCCCTGGAGGTGGCTTTGGGGCTTCTTGTGGAGTTCCTGCCATCCATCCTGGCACATGTGGGGCATGGGGGGCACCGTGGGTCCCCATGCCTGGCCGTGCCAGCGCTGCCGTGTCCGGCAGGGCTCTGCCACGCACCGTGGTGGGCTGAGGGCTGTGGCAGAGCCTGGCGGGGCACAGGTGAGCCTGGCGGGGCACAGGTGAGTGTGCACGATCTGTGCCGTGCCCCGAGCTGCGGGATGAGTCAGGCGGGCAGCAGGGCTGCGCCGAGTCAGCAAATGCAGCAAACAAACAAGCCCAGAAAACAACAGGGAAGCTGCTCCGTGGGGGAAAGGGCCTGGCTGGGATCGGGACCAGCCGCGGGAGGAGGTGGAGACCTGAGCAGCATCATCCCCTTCCCTGCGCTGTGTGGCAAAGGTGGGATTGCTCCGTCCACCTCTGCAGCTCCACCGGCACGAGGAAACCAACTGGAATAATCATCCAGGGCTCACCCCCTGCTCTGAGATTGTCCCCAGCATGCAGCTAGGGTTGGCTGTGCTTCTCGGGGCTCGGGGCAGGGGACAGGGACACGGGTGCCACCTCGGCTTGGGGGGATGCCAGCAGAGGCGTCCCTGTGCCTGCGTTTTATTGCTGGGTTTGGGATTGGGAAGCAGCTGACACAGCAGTGCTGGGGAGGGAGCTGAAGGTGCACCCACATCCCAGAATCTCCCAGTTAGGAGCTGTTCAGTGTCACCGCCCAGCTGTGGGGACAAAGGCGGAGATTTGGGGTCAGCCCGAGGACAGGCTGAGACTGAGGTCCCCATCCGGGAATGGGGACACCTCCCTGCACAAATCCCAGGGCTGCTTTTCCTGGGGAACACCTCAGAGAGGACCTCATCGTGCAGCAGCCAGGTGGGATGGATCCACACTGGCAGGTTGAGTTTCCCCAGTCCCTGAGGGGATCAGGGGGCCGGGTACAGGCAGCTGCCTGCCCCTGCTGCCTGCCCGCCACGCGCCCTCCAGATCCTGCTCTCCCCGGCCCAGCAGGTCTTTCCAGAACAGATAGGAAGAGTTTGTGTCATTTCTCCGGAAGGTGATGAGACCTTGTCTGGGACAGGCAGCACCTCTGGAGACTGGGACCAGCCTGGGTGGGGCTGTACAGCCACATGGCCACAGCTGGATCCCCAGGGCCACAGCTGGATCCCCAGGGTCATGGTCAGTGGAAGCGGGATGGATGCACTGGCCGTGCCCGTGGCCCCAGGACAGCACAGGGACGGGGACGCTGGCTCCGTGCAGCACCGGGCTGCTGGGGGGAGGTGGGACCTGCTGACTCAGCATCCTGCCTCTCACCTGGGGCTGCTTTTCCAAAGATCTCCAGGTCTGTCATTCCCATCCCATCCCTGCAGCTGGATCCAGCACCTGGTGCCACCCTGGACCCCACAGGTCCTGGGGAAGGTGCTCACCCCGAGCCCTGCTCTGCCCCAGCACCCCATTTTCTGCTAAAATGATTCCCACTGCAGCAATGGGTGAAGGACAGGAGGACACGAGGATCAAGGACAAGAGGACAAGACCCTGCAGCTCCCCGGCTGCCGCTGCCGGCGGTCCCCGCCTGCCCGGACGTGCCAGGCTGGGTCAGCGGTGTTGCCACACCGGGGCACCCAGCACGGCTCTAATTAATCCCCTTTGGCCAAGCCAAGCCAAGCCAAGCCGCTGACCTCGTTCGCTGCCTCTCGTCACCCCAAAGGGTCTCCCAGCACCCAAGTCAAAGGCACGAGGCGCTGTTTAATATTCAGGAGAGACGGAGGGGCCGAGGGCAGCAGCTGCGGCTGCCTTTGAGCCGGTGACCACGGATTAAGCTGAGCCTGCGGCCACGTTGGGCTGAGCTCTGTCACCGCGGGGTGAGAGCGGACCTGCCACCTTCAGGAAAATCAGGGATCTGGGTTGGGTGGCGGCTGCACGGGCTGAGGTTCATGGGGAGGGCAGGGGAGCCCCCGGCCCCCCTCGCTGAGCCGGGTCATGGGCTGCCATGTGCCGGGCACGGAGGGGGACAGGGGTGACAGGGGAGCCCCGCTGTCCCCTCAGCAGACATGGAGGAGCCCCAGCTCACCCTGGCACCTCTTGGGATGCACTGTTGTGGCAGGAGTTGGATTACAACCGCAGCAGCCCCCCAAATTCAGGGACTGAAAGTGAGAGGGTCAGAGCGGGGCTCAGCCCCCACCTCCCGGCCCCATCCCCCCAGCCTGGCCAGCGCTGATCCCGGGACCCGTCCCAGCCCCTGCCAAGCCGGGGCTCGGCTCCGGGCACCGGGGAGGCCCCGTGGCTGCAGCGGGACGGGAGCAGCGGTGCCCCCATCCCTCCCCAGCACCGCGGATCCCCTTCCCTGCCAGCCGGGACCACCCGGGCAGCGCCCTGTGCCGGGGGGCACCCCCTGCACCCCCCGTACCTGCCGGCCGAGGGTCCCGCCGTGCCGTGCCGTGCCGTGCCGTGCCGTGCCGTGCCGTGCCGTGCCGTGCCGTGCCGTGCCGTGCCGTGCCGGCTCGCGGTGCTGCTCTCTGCACACCACACAGCTGGGCGGACCGGCAGAGTCACCCTGAGCACCCAGCCCTGAGCACCCAGCCCTGAGCACCCAGCCCTGGCGCAGCGGAGGTTTGGCATTCCTCAGGTGCTGACAGCCGGGGAGCCGGTCAGGCTGGTTCCAGACCCGGCTCCCCCGTTTCCTCCGACTCAGCAGCGCCGGGAGGGAGCCCAGCCGGCCTGGGTGGCTCTGGGCCCCCCCGGACCTCTATCCCACCACCCACCCGAGTGGAGGGCGGTGGTGACCTCGGATGGGACATCAGGGACCGCTTTTGTCCCCGCACCTCCGGCCGGCACGGTGCTCCCAGCACGGGCCGGCTCTGGGGCTGGCAGGGTCCCAGCGCGGAGTGGGGAGGGGCTGGGGGTCCCCAGGGCCTGGATAACTTCCCGAGGGTCCCACGAGGATCCCCCAGCACTGCGGCACCTTGCCGAGGGGCTCCGAATGCGGGGGGATCCCGCATGTCTCAGGGGGCTGGGGCTCTCCAGGGGCTTCACACGGGCTCGGGGAGGGAATGGACATCACAGTAGCCCTGGGCCACCGCGGGACACCTGACCCCGGGGCGCAGGGCCCCGTCCCGCCAGGGCTGGGAGCGCAGCAGGGCCAGTGCCCGCCCCGTATCCTCGCCCTGCTCCGCCCCAGCCCGCGGGTGCCCGCTGCGGTGCCAGCCTCAGCCCGGGGCCACCACTCCCGGCTGCTGGCCCAGCCCAGGAGCCTCCCCGGTCACCGCCGGCCCCGCGCAGGTGGCCACAGTTCAGCTCCGGCTGGGGAGCCCGGGGCCACCCAGCTCTGGGTGACAGCGCTCACGTGCTGGGGAAACTGAGGCAGGGCCGAGCTCCCTCTGCCGGGTTCTGGCAGGTCCCCTGTCCCCTGCCCTGCCCCTCGCCGGGGGGGCTGAGCACCCACGCGGGGATCGAGTGCCGGGGCTCGGGCACAGGAGCGGGATGTGCCCCCTGCCCCCCACGGTGCCGCGGGCTCGCAGGAGGGGCAGCGTTGGGGTCCCGGAGAGCCCGGCCCGGCCCGGCCCGGCCCGGCTGGGTGTTCGGGGGTGTCACTGGGTGTTCAGGGGTGTCACTGGGTGTTTGGGGGATGCCACTGGATATCACTGGGTGTTCGGAGGGTGTCGCTGGGTGTTGGGGGTGTCACTGGGTGTTCGGGGGGTATCACTGAGTGTTTGGGGGGTGTCACTGAGTGTTCGGGGGGTGTCGTTGCGTGTCACTGTGTCTGTTCAGCGTGTGCCAGGGTGTCCGAGCCGAGCCAGCCCCGCACCGCCCTCTCCGGCCGGATTAGTCAGCGCTCGGGAGGGTCCCCCCGCAGCAAACCAGTTCCCAGGCACTGGAGAAACTGGAGGGACACCGGGGCGAGCCTGGGCTTTGAGTCACTGTGTGCAAAGGGAGGGACACGCCACGGGGCGCGCTGGGGACGGGCGGGGTCGGGCTCAGCCGCGGCTGCCGGGAGGGACACGGGGCCAGAGGGAGCCCCAGAGCACCCCGAGTCCTCCCGGGGCTGCAGGGGGGTCCTGCGGGCATCCTCCGCCCAGCCAGGGGGAAATGGGAAGATGAGAGTGGAAAAGAAAAAAAGGGGAAAAAAGGGGAAAATAAAAAGGAAAAAAAGGAAAAGGACACTGTATAAGCCGTATCCCCTCCCGGGGGGAACACGGGGTGCCCGTCCCCCATTCCCAACGGGACCTGCAGGGCTCTGCTCTGGCCACACCTGCATTGAGTTTCCAGATCTCAGCGCTGGGAGGGGCTGAGCCAGGGCAGCCGCTGGTGTTTGGAGGCGATGGGATCTGGATGGATCAGCCAGCTCGGCTTCCTCGGGATCACCCTGGACCTTTGAAGGGGGTTCCCCAGCACCCCAAGAAGGATGAAAACCCTGTTTGCCAGGCTCGCAGTAGGAGGAGGAAGATGCAGGACAGGCCGGTGCTTTGGGAGGTGAGATTCAGCTGCTGCAGGAGAGGCTCTGCCTTTCCTCAATATCCTGCTCTGCCCTCCTGGCTCCCCCAGGCCAATTTTCTCCCCCACTGCTCGGGTTTGGTGTCAGGGGAGTGAGGTTTGAACAGGGCTGGGGGGATTTAAGGGGCAAGGACAGACTTGTGAGCTCTGGTCTGAGGTGGGGAGGGGTCTGCAGCCTCCGAGGAAAATCCTTCAGCTATCGATTCCCCCTTATCAGGGAGCAGGAATATGTATGGGCTGAAATCCTGATCAATCCCTGCTCGGCTGCTGATCAATCA